ATAGCTTGGTTGAATAATAAAGGTTACTTTTAGCCTAAAAGTAAATTATTGTTACTGAGTTTTATTGTTTAAATGTTTCTTTCATATGTTTTTATACCTGAGTTTTTGAATTTTTAAACACTGTATATTGCCTCAATAGCTTTTAGCAAAAAAGAGAGGGGATATAAAATATTAACAATTTTGTTCTGATAAAAAGCAAAATTAATGACTAAATAAATAAAAAGGCAAAAGATGTACTAGCTAATGCAGGTTAATTGGTCCTCTGGGAAAGAAAAGACCCAGCATACAGATGATATCTTGATTACACAAAGTCTGCTTTAAACTATCAGTTTAAAGAGCCACACAGCAACTATCAGTATCAATTATACTCCTTTACACAGGCAGACAAATGAAATGAAATCTTGTTGACACAGACCTTCAACAAAACAAAGATGAACTGCAGGAATCTTATTTAGCCTGTAAATTTTGAACAGGACCCTGGTCAGCACCTCTAGGCACTCCCACCAATGGAAGATTATTAGCACATGCAGCACTGTCCTAAAGAACCCTAGGTCCGTGATGGCAAACGCATTGCATTAGGGGGATTTGGGCACACACATTCGCGTGCATGCACGCTTTGGGCACTCGGTCCTGAAATGATTAGCCATCACTGCCCTAGGTTAATAAATGATTCAAGGAAAACTAAGTGATGATGTGGGCAATTTGCAGAGGTCATGTAAGGAACACTGAAAACCACTGTGACTTATCATGCATCACATACTTCCTAGATATTTATTACCATTTTACTCAGATCAGTATATTTTTGAATGAGAGACATATTGAGTTCTTACATAAAGGTAATGAGAGAGGGGAAGAGACAAAGGCTTTGGATCTCAAGAAGTCCTCCAAAACTTACAATTTTTTTCACAGAGCATTACTTATGTTAGATTATCCTAAAATTTATCTGCCTCGAAGTGATAAAATTATCCCAAGATTTACCAAAGGAAAGGAGATTGAAGATAAATAAAAAAGCAGTTATACTGAAATATAGCTTTCAAAGTTATTTCCTGTAGATTGGTAGGAGATTCCTGTAGATTTCAACTACTTGAAGGCATTCATTATTCAAAGTACTGTTAATTACAGAAATACTTATTAAATTATTTTCATATACTAAATGTTTGTTGATGAACAATTTGAAATTTCATAAAGGGGTCAATGAACTGAACAGTTTGAGGACCCATGCTTTAGTTTGGTTCAGCAAGGTTGTTGTTGTTGTTGTTCCAGTAGCCAGGAGATCATAATGCTACTTGCAAAGTAGTAGTTTGGCTTGCCAAAGTACCAGTTCTGTTTTATGATACACTTGCGTTTTTCCCCAAAGTGTGCCACCAGAGGGCAAGCTGGGTTCACACCAGAGAGAAAGACAAGTAGCTCTTCTGGCAGCATTACCCAAGGCCCCTTCTCTTCTGGCAGCTGCCTCGAAAACAGGCACTGCAACCACTAAGGTTCAGAGCCATCAGGAATCTGACTCTCTGCACAGAGCACCAGCTTGTCTTCCCAATGAAGTGGTACCTATCTATCTACTTGCATAGAACATGCTTTAGAACTGTTAGGTGGACAAAAGCTGAGGCAAGTGACAGGAGCTCACCCTGCCAGACAGTGCTAGGGCTCAAACAGCTGGAGCTGAGACTATCTCCAATGTCATTAAGCATTGAGCCACCGCAGTTCAGCAGGGTTGTTCTGACAAAATTTTGAGTCTAAAAGGGATCTTAATTTTAAGGCAATGTTTCTTATGCTGGTAAACTTATTCTATATGTTTATTAGATTTCTATTCCATATTGCATTCATGTATTTAAAAGGGTTTATATGAGGTTTTCCATTCTATCCTGATAACAATCCTTTGAGGTGTGTTAGGCTGAGAGAATGTAATTGCTTCAAGTCACCTTTCAATATTGAAGGTCTAATCCTTCAATATTGTTGTGCACAGATTATTTTACTGGCATACACAAATTCATGAAAGTAATCTGGTTGATGTTCTTGAAATATAACCATAAAACTAGCTGATTCTTTTGCTTTGTGAATGATCTTAAGAGAATGCTTAAGAAAAATATTCTATACTCATTGTTACTACATCATAAGAATTGGCATGGTGCTTCTTCCTATGATGCTTTTACCACAAAACAAGGATACTGTAGAGCCTTCTGGACTAATTCTAGCAAATTATATTTGTTTCTTAAAACTGGCAGCTAAAATCAATTCCACAAATATACCATCATAAGCTCAAAAAAATCAAAAGACCTTGGTCCAATTGAATGGGCTCATGAGTAACTAACTTGGTACAATCAGAGACATCTGTCTAAATAGACAGCTTAAAATATGTACTCTTGTAATTTGTGATGCCCTATAAAGGAAATTTGAAGAAGACATTTATCATTAATCTTAGTTTTAAGATGGATATGAAACAAAGGAATAATGCAAGCAAATATTGTCCCCTGTAAAATGCAAATGTAATGGCAATCAGCACTATTACATATCACATCACCACATCTAGATTTCAGAATACAGCCTTCAATTAAAATAATCGAAGAAAATTGGTTTCAGCCGAATTCTGTTTTCAGCATATTATTATTGCATATGCCCTATCATGCCTGGTCCATATAACTTCTCTGGTTGTGCTAAGTTGTTGCTCAGGAAAACTAGCATGCATAAAGCTAAATACACTTGCTCAGAATTTCAAGTAATAATTAATATATCATCAGAATTTGTACAATTCCTTGAAGTTTTTGCATATCAGTGATATGTCTCTAAGAAGAGAGTAGATATAAACAAACCAGCACTAGAAATAATTCTGAAATGGCTGATGTATAAATGGATGCATGCAACACTTGGAGCTATCTGAAATGAATTAAACATTCATAACATTATGCTATTTATAATACAGATAACCAAGCAGACAAAAATTATTTTGAATTTGTTCTTGAAAGAGATAATGACAACAGTATTTACAACGGAAACTTACATTGGAAAATCCACAATTTTCCAAATGTGGATTTGCAAATTCATGTATAGTAGTAATTCAATGACTTATACAAAGTTCCATAGCAAAATCCAGTTCACTCAGATTCATATTTCTCTTTTATTTCACACGAAACACATATTTACAATAAAATACTAACTTGTCTCATTATTTTGCTGCTATACTCACATTTAAGCATTATGTGGTTTTGGTTGGTTTTTATTAACAAATTATTACTTATTAATCTTATTTAGGGTAGATTTCTGAAATCAATTATTTTACTTTAAGCATAACTGCATCTTGGTTCTATGTCATAAATGTGATAAAAGTTAAAAAATGATAAGCCTCCAGGTATAGATAATGTAATTGCAGAAATGCCTGGAAGAAGTCAGGTTAATAGGGTATAAAAGGTACAATGAACAAATTTTGAGAAGTGCAGTATAGCTTTATGCTGAACAGGGAATGATAAAACAAGATTTTTAATCTACAGTCAGTCAGTGACAAATATATGTGGAAGAAAACTTATTGTAGGATAAATAGACTTGAATTATGGAACATTTTCTACAAATATGGAATTGACAGTTGGGTGCTAAATATACAAAGAATATAAAATGAAAAGTGCTAATATGGGAAAATATATTGAATGCTTAGTATACGAGTCAATATTGATCAGGGAATCAGACAAGGATGTGTCCTTAGTTCTTAAGGATACACGTATAAAGAATTTTGTGGAGGTATCAGAAGTAAGTTGGGGATATGAAGATATAATTGTATGCAAAACTTTAGCTCCTTCAAATGAACAAAAGCTGATCCGATCTTTATATGATACAAAGTTAAACACTAAGTCTTATACATTTTTTTTTTATATGTCACCCATCTACTCTAGAAAGAATCTCAGGACAGCTTACAATTAAAATCATAAATATGAAAGTATTAAAATATTATTAATAATAAATACAAGCTAAAAAAAAACAAAGGCAAGGAGAGTACAGAGACATCTTCGCTATTAGTCTACCAGCCATCTCCAATACAGAGTACCCCATCAAGACCCCAAGCCATCCAGCACATCCACACAAGCAACACTCCTCTGGAAAGCTAAAAAAGTGGGGGCAGACCTCACTTCAGGTAGCAAGGTGGGCAAGCCACAGCAGAAAAGGTTCTCCTTCTAGACCTGACCGGCTGAAACTCTTTGACTGACGGGGACCTCAACAGGAGTCCCCCTTCTGCCAGACTGAGTGAGATAGGCCAACCCCACTGGGGCAATTTGATAATTATAATTTAAGTGCTGTTAAGTGTTTTAAACTACTGTTTTAAAAAAACACACTAAATATAACTAAATGGAAAAATTTACAGTCCTTCTAGTCAGTACTATGTAACACAAATAGCAGCTTTGAAATGTTTCCTATACCCACTAAAGAATTGTCTATTCTTGTATTAGATTTTTTTCCCCACTTTTCCTAGAAAATTTTTGCTGATTTAGAACTATTCCCAGCTCTCCTTGTACGCATTACATATTTGTGATTCCCCCATAATTTTTCAAAAATATTGAAGTCTATTTGGGACTATTGCAAAATCTTTATCTTTTTTTCTTCTAAGTACTTCATAGGCAATTTGAAGGTATATTTCAGTTCTCTATCTTGCTGAAATATTGAAACACTTTTCAGTTTTAATTTCTTCTTCAGATAGTTGTTTCTAATTAGAAAATGGTATGAACAATTACCAGTTATAAATAAATGGCAAAAAAAACCCTAGTCCAAGTAAATGAAAGTTTGTACTTTGACAAAAGGTTTACAGAAGAGGTAAAAATAGATGAATACATTTTAAGATGTGCAAATGCTGTAGAAAAGGTTGTATAAGGTCTATTGTGAGTAATGAATATTTGTAGAAAGAAGAAAAATGTTGTATATAAAAGTGGGTTTCTACTCATATTGCGATATGGCAATAAATCTAATAGCAAGGAATAATATAAATATAAACTGAATGAAGTGGGAATGAACGTTGGGCTTACCTTGAACGTTCCATCTAGGTGCGCTGCTGGAGTGTCCAAGCCTGGGTTCTTGTCAGTCAGATATGATGTCACTGGGTTGGAATTTCTTTGGCCACGCCCTCCATCTTCCAGCCGAGCCTTCAGTTTTTTCAACGAAAACGGAACCATGGAAGACGCCATCTGATCAAAACCGACCACTCCTGGACCCCGGACCAGCACAAGCCAGGATGGAATTTGGACACTCCAGCAGTGCACCTAGATGGAACGTTCAAGGTAAGCCCAACGTTCAATCTCCTGTGCACTGCTTGGAGTGTCCAAGCCTGGGATATACCCAAGCTAAGTCGAAGAAGGGAGGGAAGCAGATCGGTCCAGGGTCCCCTCGGCCGGTAGGACTCTCTGTAAGACACGCCTTCCAAACGCTGTTTCGGCTGATGCGAACTGGTCCAACTTGTAGTGCCTCACGAATGGCGAAGGAGAGGTCCAAGTAGCGGCTCTGCAGATCTCCAAGATGGAGGCTTGCGTAGCCCAAGCAGCTGAAGTGGCCACACTACAAGTAGAGTGTGCCGTAATGCAACACGGCACTGGACAAGCTTGATGTTCATAGGCCAATGCGATGCAAGCCTTGAGCCAGCGACCAACTGTAGATGGTGAAACCTTCTTCCCCATTGACCTGGGCTGAAACGAAACAAACAGGGCCTCCGTCTGTTGAAATGAGGCCGTCCTTTTGACATAGCATCGCAAGGCTCTGCGCACATCAAGGGTATGCCAGCGCTTCTCAGTCTGATTCCTAGGATTAGGGCAAAAATCTGGTAAAATAAGTTCCTGTGCCCTATGGAACCAAGAATTAACTTTTGGAACAAACGTAGGGTCCAGTCTTAAAATGACCCAGTCCAGATGAAAAATGCACAAATCCTGGCGGACCGAAAGCACCGCCAACTCGGAAACTCTGCGTGCAGAAGTAATAGCCACTAAAAAGGCAACTTTAAATGTGAATAACTGAAGAGTGGAAGATCTTAAAGGTTCAAAAGGAGGCGAGGTGAGCGCCTGCAAAACTAGAGAAAGGTCCCAAGTTGGGTAACGGTGGACCACGGGCGGCAACAAGTTGGCAGCACCTTTCAAGAAACTGCGAACCTTGGGATGGTGTGAAAGGGGAATAGGACCCTCACCTGGTAAAACAGTTGCCAAGGCAGCAACCTGACGACGCAGTGTATTAGTGGACAGCTTCTTCTTCAAGCCGTGCTGCAAAAAGGCGAGAACCTGCGGGACCGTCGCAGCTGTTGGTACAAAAGAATTCTTTGCGCACCAGCGACAAAACACCGCCCAGGTGGCCTGATAGATGCGAAGCGTTGACTGCTTCCGAGAAGGAAATTACCTCAGAGGGGTAGTGTTCCCTCTGGAGAGCTTCCCGCTCAATCGCCAGGTGATTAACTGGAGCCATTGGGGGTCTGGATGTTGAAGAGTGCCCTGACTGAGGGAGACCCGGTGCGGTGGCAAACTTCAGGGGCGTTCCGTCAAAAGGGACATGAGGTCTGCGAACCATGGACGTCTCGGCCAGTACGGCACCACTAGTAACACCTCCGCCCATTCCACCAGAATCTTCCCGATCACCTTCTGGAGCAGGGGAATCGAGGGAAATGCGTACAGCAACCCGGTCAGCCACGGGCAGCGAAGGGCATTGACTCCTTCAGCCGCTGGAGTCCAAAATCTGGTGAAAAACCTCGGAAGATGAGCATTCTGAGGGGTAGCAAACAAGTCCAGGATCGGGTCCCCGAAATGAACAGTGATGAGATGAAACAGGTCCGGGTGAAGATGCCATTCGGACTGGTCTATCGTAGTCTGGCTCAACCAATCTGCCGTGGAGTTGGACGTCCCGGTGATGTGTTCTGCTTTCAAGGACCGAAGATGTCGTTCCGCCCAGAGACACAGCCGCCTCGCCTCGCGCATGAGGACCTTCGAACAGGTGCTGCCCTGCCGGTTGACATGCGCCTTGGCCGTAACATTGTCTGTGAAAAGGAGAACATGTTGATCCTACAGCTCGGCCCGAAAGTGTTGAAGCGCCAGGTGCGCTGCCTTCAGCTCCAGCCTGTTGTCGTCGTTCTGGAGATCTTCCTGAGACCAACGCCTTTGCGTCATGGAGGCTCCCAGATGCTCTCCCCAACCGAAGAGACTGGCGTCCGACATCAAGACCAGTCTGGGAGGGTCCCGAAACAGGCATCCTTTCTCCAAGGCTACCGACAGCCACCAGTCCAAGGAGCGAAGCACCTGTGGAGAAACTCTGACCTTGCCTAGAGAATTGCTGCTCCCTGACTTCTGACTGGGTAGTAGGAACCATTGTAAGGCTCTGGTATGAAACCGAGCCCAGGGAACTATGGCAAGGCAAGATATCATCTTTCCCAATAGTTGAGACAGGAGAAGAAGGGGCACAGAGCCAGACGCCTGAATCTGCCCTATCAACTGTCTGATGCTGTCCTTGCGTTCCTGCGACAGAAACACCTGAGATAACTGGGTGTCTATTACCGCCCCCAAATGCACCAGTCTGGTGGATGGAGTCAGATGGCTTTTCTCCCAGTTTACTGAGAAGCCATGATCCTGCAGGGTCTGGATGGTAAAATGAAGGTCTCGCTGTGCCTGACTGGGAGACGATGACTGGATCAGCACATCGTCCAGGTAACACTGCAGGCGGACTGGATGGGCCCGCAAACGAGCTGCCACCACGTCTAGTAATTTGGTGAAGGTGCGGGGTGCTGATGATAGGCCGAAGGGAAGGGCCCGGTATTGCCAATGACAGCCCGCAAAGGCAAACCTGAGAAACTTCCTGTGGGATAACCTTATGGGCACATGAAGGTAAGCCTCCTTGAGGTCTATTGATGTTAAGAGATCCCCTCCCAGGATCGAATGCAGAGAATGCATCTTGAACCTTTTGTAATGAATGTGAACGTTGAGGTCTTTCAGGTTCAAAATAGCCCTTTGGCCCCCCGAACGCTTTGGCACCAGAAAGAGCATGGAGTAGAATCCAAAACCCCTTTGACAAATCGGTACCGGTTCTATGGCAGCGATATCCAGCAAATGCTGAATTTCGGTCTCCATCATGGCCCTCTTGGTGGCATCCCTGGGAACTGGACACTGAATGAAACGATGAGGGGGTCTGGAACAAAATTCTAGTGTTAGTCCGAGAGTCACAGTTTGTAAAGCCCATGCGTCTGTGGTGGAATTCCTCCACTGGTCGGCAAACACCTTCAACCTGCCGCCAATGGGAATGTGGGTCCAAGACTCACTTGGAACGATGATAGGGGCGTCCCCCTGAACCCCTGTAGTGGCCTCTGGACTGTGATTGCCGAGATCTATCTCAGAATCCTGATCTGTCATGAGGTCTATCTCCTCCCTGGAAATATGGTCGCTGAGATTGGGAGGCGGAGATCCCCGCCTCCGCACTCCGAAAGGACTGCCCACGATAGTAAAGAGCCTGTCTCCTATCATATCTCCTATTCAGCTGTGGCAACACCTTCCTCTTGTCCTTCCCTTCTACTAGGATGGGATCTAACACATCACCAAACAGCTGTTGTCCTTTAAAAGGTGCAGCTGCCAGCCGGCCCTTAGACCTAACATCTGCTTGCCATTGGCGTAGCCATAACAAGCGTCTAGACGCCACATTGGAAGCTAAAGCCCTGGATGTGAATTTTGCCGCAGTAATGGAGGCATCAGCTATGTATTCAGAAGCGGCAATCAACTTACTAAGGTCCTGTTGCAGGCGGGTATCCTTAGGGGAAACCCTGGTCTGAAGCTGTTTGAACCAGAGGAGTGAAGTTCTGGCCATGAAGGAAGCCGCAGTAGCAGATCTAATCGCCCAAGCCGCGGCCTGATGAGTTTTGCGTGCCGCCAAATCTGCCTTCCTATCCTCAGATTTCAATCCTTCTGCATTATCAGAGGGAAGAATAGAGGCCGAAGCCAAATTAGTCAAGGGGGAATCCACAGTAGGAATCTGGAGAAGTTCCTTCTCTACAGAAAACAACTCCTTATCCATGCCACTAGGAGGAGAAACAGAAATAGGGTGATCCCATTGCCTCTTAATTGTATCCACAAAGAACTGTGGAGATGGGATAACCTCCTGAGTAGTGACCTGTTCTGAAAACACAAATCCTGAGAATCCCTAGGGGCAGAAGTAGATTTATCCACCTGGCCCATATTAGCAGTCATCTTAGCCTTCATTAATAATGTTCTGAAAAGGTGAGGTTTGAATAAACCAGAATAAGTAGGCTTATCCTGAGAAAGGCCTTCATCCCCAGACATCTCAAATTCACCTAATTCCTCCTCACCTACCAGGGAATCTTCACTGTGAATAGATTGAGTATCCTGATAGGATTCCTCCCTGTAATCCCTATGTCCAGCTAGCTGAGTCACAGGGTCTGCCCTGGAAGGCCTTGGGTGAGCAGGAGCTGGAAAACCCCTCTGGGCTAATGCCTCATCAATGCCCTGAGTAATGGTTTGCAAATGGCAAAACATAAGTCTGAGGACAAAACCTGCTGTGCAGGCTCCTGTGGGCGGAGCCCTGCTGCTGTGGGCATAAAAGTAGCTGAGGGAGCAGGGCCCTGAACATCTGGGGCCTGGGAAGGCACAGGAGTAGGCAAGACATGACCTTCCTGAAAAGGAACAGCGTGAAACTCCTGTTGTTCCTGAACAACAGTGGGAGACCAGTTAGGTTGCTCCTCTTGAGGCCCTTGATTTATAATAACAGTGGGAAAAATATGGGGAGCCCCACCTTGATCCCCTGACCCCACAGGGGATTTAGAAGCAGCAGAAACAGCCTGCAGTTGAGCTTTTGCAAACTGTTTTTCTAAAGCTTTTTGTCTTCTCAAGGCATCTTTATCAGCAGCTGCAAATGATTTAGATTGATTAGCCTGGGTGTTAGCAGAAAGCTTGCTGGATCTCAATCTTCTAGAGCCTTCAGGCTGAGGTTGAGGAGCATAAGTTTCCTCAGAATCGCTACTATTGGCCATAATGGACACAATATAACAATCAAAATAAGGCAAATATAAAAGGATTACTCACTGGGCAGTTCAGAGCTTATAATGAATTGCTAAACCAGCAACACGGTTACAATAACCAGGCAGCAGCAGCAGCAAGAAAGGGCAGCCCAAGTAAATTGTTGCCAAGGCCACAATTGTAGAAAAAAATACTGGAACATGTTTACTTGCGTGAGCAGAAGCAGATCCAGCTCTCCAAAGCTGCAATCCTCTCAGTTTTCGCCCAGCTGCCTTCCACAATAGTTTGCTGTGCCTTTAAGCCCAAACAAAATGGCCGCCACCAGCGAAATGGTGACTATTGGCCATGCGGTCAGCACGCTCTCACTCCTGCAGCAATCCGCGACGAAATCCGAAGCCTCGGACTCCCCCGATGCTTTAAAAGGCTTCCCCAAGCCTTTCCTGTGATCCTGGCTGCACTTAGAGAAAACGGCCGGCTGGGAGCGATCTATTAGCCTCCTCTGCAGAGCGCTCAGCTGCTGACTCACACTCACTCACACACCCAAGCTGAATTCAAAAGGCTCGGGTTGTTGTTGTTGTTGTTGTTTGAAGAATTAAAGAAATTGGCCAAATTAACTAAGAAAAATACCTTTAAATTTAAATAAATTTAAGAGTTAACTCTAACAAGACTTTCCTCTGACTGAGTTGGAAAAACTGAAGGCTCGGCCAGAAGATGGAGGGCGTGGCCAAAGAAATTCCAACCCAGTGACATCATATCTGACTGACAAGAACCCAGGCTTGGACACTCCAAGCAGTGCACAGGAGATAGGGTAATTTAAGAAGTGTGTGTTTGAAAACAAGTGAGGGATTAAATATAATGTGGAATGAATAGAAAAGTGAGCAGCAAGAATCCAAGAAGCATACTGATGTGATTTGGTCATATAGAGAGAATGAATGAGAATAAAATTGTAAAAAAAATTGAGAGTGAGATGAGTATCTATTATATAAAAGTTACAAATTATACACACACATAACCCATATATACACATACATTAAAATGAATAGGTTGAGAGGAAAAGGAAGGCTGAAAAAGTTATGATTGGATAGAGATGGTTAGATTTTCAAAAAGAAAGAGGAAAGCACTTTTAAAAAACAGGCAATGTATTAAGTAATATATTGGTGTAAAGGAGTGAAGGATGTTTGCAATAATAGTAGAATAGTAGAAGCACTGATTTAAACTAGATTTAGTTGGATTTCCTTTTCTTATCTTAATCATTTTTTTACTTCTTATTTCTTAGATCATTTCTGCATTTTGTATAATACTCTTACCCCAAAATGGAATAGTATGATGAATACAGATCTATATATACACTGATGCAACCAAGTAAACTAGAGAACTAAGAAATAAATGGTTCTAAATGTTGTCTTTGTCCATTTAAACATATATAAGATTGATTGATTGACTGACTGGCTACATTTTTATCTTGATTTTTATTCCATAGAACTCAAAGGTTTAGAAACAATTCCCATAATCTAGATGTAGACACTGATTATGTTTAGGCTTGCTTGACATAGTAAATCTTTGAATCAAATAGCTTTAATTTGAATGTAAATATAAATTTGAATATAAAAATTCAAATAAAATGCTTCTTTCAATGAATTAAAAATCTCTGCATAAAGAAGGTAAAGAAAAATATTTGAAATATGTCACCGAAATAAATCTGAGAGATGTATTTAGTTGATAACAAACTACTCAGCACAAAATACCTCATGTGTCTCTTATTCTATAAATCTCTTCTTCCCTCTACAAACAATTGTTAGATAACATTATGTTGTAGAGATGCAAACAATCGAATCACAGTCCAAACAACTGAATCACTATATGAAATTCATTTCAAAAACTTCCCCATGGCAATAAATATTTTCTAGGAAAATACCTGAAATATTGGAGCAACAGATTCCAGCCTCATCTGAAGATGCATCTCACTGACAGAAAAAAAGGCAAGCTAATTCAGGGGTTTTACCCATATTAAATGTGGACATGTATTTTATTTATTGCACTATGAATAAAAAACATCATGAGTGTTTCTTTAAGATACTTGGTATGAACTATAGAGGGGAGACTCCTGGGCGGAAGCAGCAGGTAAATGCCAAATCTCAGGAAGTGTTCATTACATTTTAAAGATAACCCTATATTGCTCTCCACACTGGCAGCAGCAATTAATGGTCTGAGTACCAGGGAACAGTAAAGTGAAGCCAGACTAGGAAAAAGCTATCATCGCTTTTCCTCTTCAAGCACCATAGGACCTGTTCCTGTACACTGCAGCTAAGCCTAAGCATCACTGGGACAGCTGATAGAGAGGTGATCTCCTGGGTATCCCAGAGATTCTCAAAGCTGGTAAAAAAAAATTAGGAAAATGGAACAATGGTTGAATCAGATTGTTAAAATCTGTCATTTTAGAACAGTAGTTTCATTAAACTGCTACAGGAAAAAAACATAGAAAAGCTTTTCCCAAAAAAGACTAAACTAACATAAACTAATGCCATAAGAATCATGCCAAACATCTATGATTTTGAAGTACTTTTAGGCTCTGCCAATCTTAATTTCTGAAACAGAAACAAAGCCAAGACAGCTGCATCCAACACAGATTTAGTCCCCATGAAGCTTTTCTTCCAGGACTGATTTGAGTTAGAGCACGCCAGGTTTTAAAGCCATGCTTACTTCCCATTGCATTTGAAATGGAATAATAATACAGTTGTATTATGTATTGCCCTTAAAAGAATTAAGGGTTAAATTAGCTGCTGGTAGAACCTTTTCCAACATATTATTTATGTCTTATGTTTATAACTTCCCTTTGATGGAAGGAAGGGAGGTTGAAAATAACTCTAGGTCTGATGAAATGCCTTACAGTTTGGGGAAACAGACAGAAGGAAACAAAGCCATTACAGAAGAGAATCTTGAATCCAGAGGAGGGAAGTAATGGAAGAAAGAGATTCAGAGTAATTTTGCCTTAATTATGCTAGGTATAAATAGTAATGGGAAATTGCTATGGTAGATTTTTAAGATTCTGTTACACTACCTACTACTAATAAAGAGTTTTCCAGACATCAATTTTTTTCCTGAGTTTACCAGCCTCACAGGATTTTACACGTGGTTAATTTTACAGCAGATCATTATTTGAATTCAGGTCAGGTCCAATGCTCTAATCCAGATGCCCTTCAAATATTTTGCATTACATCTCATAAGCGCTGACTGACCCTGTAATCAAAAACATTTGGAGGGTACCAGGCACCTTCCTCCATCTAATCACTGTTGTAATAATCATTGGGAAGAATTACTTCAATAGCAATATTCATACATGTTAATCAGGTCAGACAAAGATGCCATGGTTGGTTAATCTTGACTATTTTTAGCTATTTTTCTGCCTTAGTGTATATATGACCATAACCTATTCTTAATTTATAGTTCAATTTAGTGCAAATAAAGAACATGAGCTAATGCGGTAACCACATTAAGTAGATTGTGTCAACATAGCCATTAAGAAGCCCTAAATCTTATTTGATGGGTCAAATTACTTAGTTTCAGAAAAGATTCACACTTTGCCCAGAGGTAAGTAATGGAAGAATTAGAAGGCCTTTCATCCAATGTCATCAAAACAGCATAATTGAAAGCTCTCAAGCTGTATCTAACTTAAATTAATGTTATCAGTATATATTCCAAAGCTCAGAATACACAATGCATTATGTCTGTGAAAGTCTGATTCAGAACACTGAAGAGATAATAGAATTATGTAATGGCTGTTGAGTCCTATTCTGTTTCATGACCTAATGCTGACTATGGAATCTTATGCTAACTAACTTTCCATTACTAAAGAACACATTCACCACATGAGTTCTGTCCTTGGTGAGAAGTAGAGAGATTTAATACAAAATTCAAAACAAGCAACATTTAAATTCCTCCCCATTTTTCTCTCTAACAACTGTTATAATACCAGCCAAAAAAGGATATTTCACTATATTTTTAATCTGCTTTTATTTCAGGAACTGATTACAGAAATGAACTCTTCTAAGTTATCCTAGGCTTCTGAATAACAACTATTCTACATCTAAATAGGTTCTGTGGCTTACTGGAACTTTTAATATTTACCTATACTCAGTGGTGGGTTTCAACCAGTGTTATCACCTGTTCGCTTCATGCACACGCTTCACGCGTGCATGCCAAACTTTTGCTCTGCACAAGCGCAGTGTATTAAGGAAAAGCTGAGATGCGGCAATCCACTGCTACACCTTTCAGCTGGGCTAAAAATGACTGAAAATAAGGTTATGTATAACGCAGGGGCAGGCAGGAGGGCCAAACTAACCGCCAGAGAGAACTGCTTCGGTCTCACCTCACCAACTCCACTATGGCTCGCACAAACTGGGGAGAACCGGTAGCAACCCACCACTGCCTATAGTGGTCTTAAGAGGCTTCAACTATCTCTTATCTGTGGTAGAACATTATCAGTTAAAACAAAACGTCTAATACATTTCTGATCTTTTTTTGTTGAATTTTGTTATAAAATTGTCACCGGAAGAGAATTATTGGGGGAAAAACAGTTCTGAAGAAACAAAAATTCATTATATTCTTTTCTAACAACCTGTAAGTGAATTTTATTTGTTTAGTTTATTTATCCATTTTTTATGCTGCCCATCTCACCTGTGTGACTCTGGATTATTTATGAATAAAGCCATAAAATCATATAAAAGCCAGAGTTGAAAACAAAATTTAAAAAAGGACAAAAATGAAGTTAAAAAGAACAGTTGAAAAGTTAAAAAAGACAGAGGGGGGAGATGCCTTGAACCTACCAACCACCCCCAGAATTGCATGCCACTCTTAAACCTCCATGCCAACTGGCAGAACCTTGACACTCTTCCAGCAGGCTAGGAGAGAGAGTTCATCTTGCCTTTTAGGGCAAGATATTCCATAGGGCAGGGGTAATGGCAGAGAAAGCTTTCTTCATGGCTCCCACATGTTGAAATTCTTTAACCAATGGTTTAACCCTTGCTGCCTGACCAGGTGGGATAGGTCAGTGAAATAGAGATGAGGCGGTTCCTTGGGTAACCTGGTTCCAGGCCACAAAGGGCTTTAAAGGTGATAGCCAACACATTGAATTGCACCTGGAAGCAAGCTGGCATCCAATGCAGTTCACATAGCAGAATTATTATATGTGCAACTCTATGGGTGCCCAAACTGTTCACCCCACCACATTTAAAATCAGCTGCCTCTTATGGATACTTCTCAAGGGTAGGCCTATGTAGAGTGCATTGCAGTAGTCAATACAGGAGATGTCCGTGTATAAGTGACTGAAAGAAATGGTAAAGAATCATCTATTTTTCCATTTGCCACAGAAGCAAACAGGACTGATGAAATATGAATGTATTTAAGTCTGCCCATAAGTACCTCTGCACCTAGTGGATAAGGAAGTCATTTTGAATTATGTGATTACAAGAAAATACAGTTATATCACAGGAGCAAGTTGAGGTAGGAGCACTATCTTGGTTATTTTTCTTTTTTCAGGCAACACCTCTTGACCTCTGCAGGTGATTTTATCTACTGAGACAGGTGAACCAAGTGTTTCAATAATTTCTTCTTCTCTCCTTGGCACTATTTCTGCAAGATTAAACACCTTGTCAGCTGCAAGTGTCAATCTGCCATCAGATGTCTATC